ATATATTGTTTTCTACAGGTGGCACACTCAAGATAGTACATTAGGTTGAAGTGCAGGTGAAGCTCGATGTGACCTGGTGAATGTAATCAGATGCTGTGCTTCTGAGGTGGAGCTGGGCCGGCCACAGGAACCAGACATTTTCCTACTCTTTGCTTTAAGTTTTGCTTGAACAAGCATGTCTCTAAGGTTAGCGTTGCGTCTGTAGGTGACTTTAGGCGGTTTGGGAAAGATTTTCATAAGTTTCTGGCTGGTGTTTAGAATTCGATAGTTTTTGTGAGGATGTTGTTTATGTTAGGGAGCGCATTAGAAAAATTTGTAGTGAGAAGAGGTGTAGTTGCTGCTGTTGTGCTTTTGGAGCGTGGTTTGAGTGCTTCATGGCGGTCCAGTTCCAGTGCGTCCGTATAGGCTTTGTCAAAGAAAGTGTTAGGGTGGTTTCTGTCTGATAGTGTTTCTTTTAGGGCGGCAAGTCTGTTTACGCAGTCGCCGTTTTCTACGCATATGCGGGGTAACCTTGTTGCCTGACTCTTGAAAAAGGACTGTTTACAGTGTCTTGGGGGATGGCTTGTATAATCTAAGTATTGTTGCTTCTCAAATGGTTTTTTTTCTACAGAATTGTCTTTAGTACACCATTTTCAAAATATAAGGTCGTGTCTAGAAAGTTGATGTGCTGAGCCGAGGTATCGGAGGTGAACTTTATTGTTGTATGAAATGAGTTTAGGAATGAGGTGAATTTATCTAGATTGTGCTGCCCATGACCCCATATTATAAATATGTCATCTATGTACTGAAGGTATGTGTGAGGTTTGTTCTCATAGTGAGACAAGAATTCGGTTTCCAGAATTCCCATGAATATTTTTGCGTAGGTGGGAGAAAATGGGGCACCCATGCTTGTTCCCTGTATTTGAAGGTACTACTTTTCTTCGAATTCAAAGTAGTTATGTGACAGTACTAATTCTAATAGTGTTAAATATACTTCGGTACGATGTTGTGCGCTATGTCGGGATAAGGTTAGCTCAACTGAAGCTAAGCCCTCGTGGGATGGGAATATTCGTATATAAAGCGGTAACATCTAGTGTGATGAGAATGGCGTCTTGTGGTAGAGTACCGTTCTTATTAATTTCCTCTATTATTCTCAGTATGTGGAGTGTATCTTGCTCAAATGACGGTAATGACTTTGGAATTATACCTAGAAAATGATTTATAAATATGGAGAGGTTTTCGGTTGAGGTTTTGTTGTTTGATACTACTGGGTGCCCTGGAATATTGGTGCTGTATAATTCTGCGGATGGTATATTGTGAATATTCAGAAGGAGATAGTACCGCCCCGCTGCTTTGCTGTTTGGTTTCAAGAATTTAAATTCTGATGGAGTTATCAGTTCATCCGCCAAAAGAAATCTAAGCCAGTTGGTAATTGTGGGTGTGTATTGCTCTGTTGGATCGTTGTTCAGGGTTGTTCAGTAGTCTGTAAGCTTCTTGCTTGTACTTTTCTTTTGGCCAGATCACTATGCTTTCTCTCTTATCAGCCACCTTAATTATAATGTCTTCACGTGATTTGAGGCTAGAAATAACGCGGGTTTCGAAAGATGTCAAGTTTTTAGGTTTCTTAGATATTTTAGATTGATTTATTTTTTCTGTAGAGATAGTTTTAAGATGTAAGTCAAGTTCAACTGCTTGTTCTGGTTCAGCGGTCCAGGTAGACTGAGCCCTAAGTGTTCTAGTATCTGTACCTGTTCCGTCGTTTTCGGCGAACAATTGTCTAATACGCATTCGTCGTGAAATTCGGTGAGGTCTCTTTGAAGCTCGAATTTGTTTATTGTATTGTTGGTTGGACAAAAATTAAGGCCTTTACTAAGGACGTTCGTTTTCTCTAGACTTAATGACCCTGATATGTCTACGGCGTTGGACTGCTTTTCGATTTGTATGGAGGTGTCAGTTGTGCTTGGTACTTCTCTGTTTGTGCGGTCAGTTGTTTGTGTGACGAAAGTGGATGCTTGGCGAAGGGCTCCCCAGTTAAAAAACCATTTTATTATTCTGCTTCTGCTTCAATTTTTTCTTCTGCAAACTAAACACGTTTGCAGCTGGTAGTTTATTCCATAATGATGTTCATGAGAATTCAGCCATCAGTTTATCATAGTGAGTGTGTGCCTCAGGCAAAAAACGTTAGTGTTACGGGCAAATATTATTACTATGGGCAATCAGGTCAGTAGATGAGAAGCAGATTGGAGGTAGTGCCTTGGTTATGTATTTATAGAATATGATACCTAAGTTGTAATTGACTAGCTCCGAGATGGTTAAGATGTTATCATGAAGTAGGCATTTACCATAAAAAAGCATCAACTGTTATTAATAATTCTTATTAATTGGTTCTGTAATACTTGAAGGGAAGCCAAATGAGTGTTTCAGGTGTTACCCCAGGACATTATGCCATAATAATATGGGAATGAACAAATGAGTAGTAGAGTGACAGTAATGTGACACGTGTGAAGTATGGAGGAATTTTCATAGGAGAGCAGATAACGTATGCTATTTTCTTTTTGATGTGAGAAATATGATCTATGTATTCAAGTAAGAGTCAATAGAAGTTCCAAAAAAAGGTTAGCAGGGACTGGAAAAAATCGAGTGCGAGCCAAAAGCTAAAGTAGGAAAAGATGCTGAATATTTTTATTGCCATGAAAATACAAATTTAGCTGTGGTTGCGATGATAGCAAACAAGTTCGCACTGCACCAACTTGAAACATTTTTCAAGTCAGTTCTTAGCTCGTGAACAAGAGGTGAAATGCTATTGTTAGATGTAAATATGGTAGTGTCATCAGCATCAGAATGGAATTAGTGGAGGACAGACAGTTGGGAAAATCATTAATATAGATAAAAAATAGGAGCGGTTTCGAAATGGATTCTTGAGGGACACTGATTTTAGTAGATAATTCTTTAGAATACACATTAGATAACGACACAAGTTGAACGCGGTTATCTAGGTATATTTTTAGTAACTCTAAAGTAGGACCACATAGACTGATTGCTTCAAGTTTAGTAAAGAGAATACTATGATTAAAACTGTCGAATGCTTTTGTTAGATCGATGAATACTGATGATGCAAATAAACCTTCGTCAATGATTTTTTTAGTTGATGGGTTAGATGAATGAGTGCCAGATGAGTAGAGAAATGATCCTGAAAGCCGAACTCACAAGGTGACAGAATATTAAATTTCGTAAGGTGATTTGATAGGCGTACTCCTGGTAATTTCTCAAGAACTTTACCAAAAAAGGGCAGAATGTGAATGGGTCGGTAATTATGAATTATTGTGCTATCACCTTTTTTAAGAACTGGGGAAATTCACCGCATTTAAGCTCATTAGGTAACACACCAGCCTTGAATATAAAATGCATAATGAAACACACAATGTCAGAAATTGGGTGCAAAATTAATTTGATATGAGCAGGCAGGACTTCTTCAATTCCTACATTGATGGATTTGAGGTGTTGTATGACACCATATATTTCTTCAGGAGTGGTGGGAAAGAAGCAAAAATAGTGAGAGGCATCTAAGTGGCGTGATTTGTGTGGGAAAGGGTGAGTCAACGCTAAAAAAGTAGGAACTGAAGGCGTCAGCTTTGTGAGTAGGAGAGTTCTATTCAATGTTATAGAATACAATTCTGTCTACGTGGTGTTGAGAATTCCTGTTTGTTGCTAGCGCACGCGAAATTTTTTACTTTTGAGTCAGCGCTCGTGTGATCTGTTTCTTTGTCCTTTGTCTGTGCCGTATTGCATGCCTGAACATGTTAGCTTACCAACTCACTCAGCTTGCTGCATAAATTTTGGATGTATATTGCTGCATGTCGCATGCCTTCAATGTAGGCAAAGAAAGCAATGATCACCTTATATGGCTTCGTACCTAAGCAACATATCCTAGTTGCATAGAAAGATTCTGTGTTTGGTTTATTATATATTTTCAATTCCTGAGTATTGGTGCTGCAGTGCCCTGTCCTGTGAGTTAGCTGAATGAAGTACCATGCCTACTCATTAACTTTAGCGGGTTTTTTCACAAGCTGTGAGATAATTGGTTCTTAAGGGACATTAAAGTCAATTTTAAGTTGTCATTGATTGTTGGATTAGTGTTTGAGAAACCTCGTAGTGCTTATTTTGTCCCAAGGAAATGCTTATTTTGAAAAAAAAACAATTTTTAGTGGTTGGCACAGCATTAGCACAATTTGAATCGCACGCCTGAAAGGGCTTCATGACATTTGCCTGGCCAAACATTGCATGCCTTTACTGCCTAGCAGCCGGTTCTGGGGTTTTTGCTCTGAAGGCCACATTACACAACACATGTATGTGGCTTTTTTTTTTTTTTTTCAAACTTTCCGTTGGAGCAACTTTCATGAGTGCGCAAGGCACACATAGTACTATGTGATAACGAAACTACCACTGAGATGCACCCTCGCAAGCAAGGCACAGCCCTGCAGAAACGAAACTATTGCACATCTCTTGTCGTTCTTCACTGCAAGGTTAAGTTATCTCTCTCTTCTTCTTCTTTTAATGAATCAAACACCCAAGCGGAATTCTGTTATGCCATGCACTGCTTCTTTTTTTTTTAATCATAAGTAGCTTGAATACTAGTGATAATTTGTACTCTGGACTCTTGTTGTGATCGGGCACATTCAAAAACGTCCCACTGGTGGCGCATAGTGTCCTACATTTATCTTAGTCTCTATTGCTAGAGCACTGCTACTGATGATATATTGCTTTAGACATTATCAAACATTGACCTTTCACTCTGACATAAACTTTTTTTTCCCTTTAGTGGCCCTTTAATGTCTTCGTTGGTGGCGGTATTATGCTGGATTTTCGGAGTCTTCACAGACACGCAATTTCATGCTTAACTTCTAAAACGGGGATGCTGAAAAAAGGCGTTTGTTAAGTAGACATTTATTTCATGTGCTCGTGCATTATTAGTAGTGATAATTTTTTCAATTGAGTGCATTAAATCATTATCGTTCTTACAGGGTTCTCTCGTTCCCACTGATCTGATTAGGTGAGTGATATTTATGTTTTACTTGTCCTAGGTATTTCTACATCTCCTGCTCTCTGTGTCAGTGTTGTTAGCCTGTCTGCCTTACTTCCTGTAAAAAAGGTAGACAACACTAAAGAAGAATACAAATTCTACGATTGCCCTCTCGTATTGGGTTGATTGCCAATACGTGTATTTACATCAACTGTTACAAGTGTGTATACTTTTCTCTACCCATTTTTAGGATTGTATAAAATTAATAATGCATTCGCTGTCACCGTATATATGCATGTAGTTTCCTTCTTCTTAACTTGTACTTGCTCATCAACGCTACTCTGACCAAATTGTATTGTATTGTTACTTTTGATGTGGCTGCTTTTTGTGCTTTTCTTTTTGCTCCCACTCCTGTAAAAACCCTCCAAGGGTTAACAGTATGTTGTAAGTAAATAAATAAATACAGAAGAAAGTTCTGAACTGCAAACTGCAGGAACCCCAGAGAGTTGAAATTTCCAGAGCTCTCCATTACGGCATCTCTCATAATTATATGGTGATTTTGGGACCTTAAACTCCAATTATATTATTAGTAATGTAAATGACAATGTTGTTATCTTAGTGAACGCAGTGTGAAGACATTGTTCTGAAGGAAGCTGTTCAATCTTCCTCGGAATAAAAGATGCACATATGTAAAATCATTTTTTCATTTACACATCAAGCCATGTATTTTCTTTCTATGGCAGCCACCCTGGCAAACCAAACTGCCATGGGGAAGTATGTAGCTTTCAGAAGGGGCTCAATGGCAAATTAAATTACAGGAATAGAATGCTGAATTGTGAAATCAGCTCAGCAGACTCTTGCAAGGTGTTGGAAAATTCAGTAAAGGCAAGTTGTAGCACTCTAGTCGACGCGCTTAGTCCCAACTTTTCACAAAACTGCACCGCCACGCGGAAACGTCACTTTCAATCGGGCCCCTTAGTTGTTTTTCACATTCAATGTTACCAGGTTGATTGATGAGCCCCTTGGCAATAGCCCTTAGCTGATAGGTCGCAGCTGCTCAACAATGGCTGTGTGCCAGTTTCAATATCAATGTCAGCAAGTTTATTGATGATGGCTTGGTGGAATCCTTTATTTCTCAGAGAGCGACACATTTCTGTCTTTTTTTATTGCAGCTACATTTTTCTCTTTCTGGAGTTTGACACCGAACAATGCATATTGAAATAATGGCTGCAATTAATGTGACTGTCTTGAATTACACACTGTAATTATAATGGTGGCTCACCTCTCTATGCCTCATTTTTTTTTACTGTGGCCACAAGGGGCATTTTGTTCTTCATTAGATCAACTTTTGGTTATTGCCTTCTGCTTGCAAGAATCCATTACTGCCTCCATCTTGCTCTTTAACTATGTATTTGCTGCACTGTAACGCTGGTTGGTTTTTTTCTGGTGGTAGACATTGAGGCACTAATGCCAATAAATAAATAGTATCATTGTACACTTACTTCATAAAGTATGCGATGTAAGAAGGTATAACATGGAGAGAATCGAACACGCTCTGAAAAACGGAGGAAGCGTCAAAGCAGTGAAGAGGAAACTTGGGATAGGCAAAAGTCGGATGTATGCACTAAGGGACAAAGAAGGCAAAATAACTACCAATATGGATAGGATAGTTAAAATAGCGGAGGAGTTTTACAGAGATCTGTACAGTAGCCGACAACCACGACCTTAATACTATAAGAACTAGCAGTAACCCAGGTGACACCCTACCAGTAATGATAGAAGAAGTCAGAAAAGCTTTGGAGAGCATGCAAAGAGGCAAAGCTGCTGGTGAGGATCAGGTAACATCAGATCTGCTGAAAGATGGAGGACAGATTGTGTTAGAAAAACTAGCCACCCTGTTTATGAGGCGTCTCCTGGCGGGAAGGGTACCAGAGTCTTGGAAGAACGCTAACATCATCTTAATACATAAGAAAGGAGATGACAAGGACTTGAAGAATTACAGGCCGATCAGCTTGCTCTCTGTAGTATACAAGCTATTTACAAAGGTAATTGCTAACAGGGTAAAGAAAACATTAGAATTCAATCAACCAAGGGAACAAGCAGGATTTCGAACAGACTACTCAGCAATCGACCACATTCATACTATAATTCAGGTAATAGAGAAATGCTCAGAATATAACCAACCGCTATACATAGCCTTCATAGATTACGAGAAGGCGTTTGATTCAGTAGAAATATCAGCCGTCATGCAGAGACTGCGGAATCAGGGCATTGATGAAGTATATATAAACATCCTGGAAGAAATCTACAGGGGATCAACTGCTACCATAGTGCTTCATAAAGAAAGCAACAGAATACCAATCAAGAAGGGTGTAAGGCAGGGGGACACAATCTCCCCAATGCTATTTACCGTGTGCTTACAGGAGGTTTTCAGAAGCCTAGAATGGGAACAGTTAGGGATAAGAGTTAATGGAGAATACCTTAGTAACCTGCGCTTCGCCGATGACATTGCATTGCTGAGTAACTCAGGGGACGAATTGCAACTCATGATTACGGAGTTAGACAAGGAGAGCAGAAAGGTGGGTCTTCAAATTAATCTGCAGAAAACGAAAGTAATGTACACCAACCTCGGAAAGGAGCTGCGCTGCGAGATAGGTAATAGTGCACTTGAAGTTGTAAAAGACTATGTCTACTTAGGGCAGGTAATAACCGTAGAGCCTAACCACGAGATTGAAGTAACTAGAAGAATAAAAATGGGGTGGAGTACATTCGGCAAGCACTCTCAAATTATGACAAGTAGATTGCCACTATTCCTCAAGAGGAAGGTATATAACAGCTGTATCTTGCCGGTACTTAGCTATGGAGCAGAAACCTGGAGACTTACAAAGAGGGTTCAGCTTAAATTGAGGACGACGCAGCGAGCAATGGAAAAAAAATGGTAGGTGTAACCTTAAGAGACAAAAAGAGAGCAGAGTGGATTAGGGGGCAAACGGGGGTTAAGGATATCATAGTTGAAATAAAGAAGAGGAAATGGACATGGGCCGGGCATGTAGCGCGTAGACAGGATAACCGCTGGTCATCAAGGGTAACTAACTGGATTCCCAGAGAAGGGAAGCGGGTTAGGGGAAGACAGAAGGTTAGGTGGGCAGATGAGATTAAGAAGTTTGCGGGTATAAATTGGCAGCAGCGAGCAAAGGACCGGGTTAACTGGCGGAACATGGGAGAGGCCTTTGTCCTGCAGTGGACGTAGTCAGGCTGATGATGATAATGATGACACTTACTTCACACTGCTTTCCTGAGAACCTTATCGCTCAGTAATGTGTGCTTATACCGCTACTGTATCATTGTTTTTTGTTTGTTTCGTAGGGACTTGCAAGAGTGTACTGAGCTGAGCAAGCACTTCTTTCAAGATGATGAGCAGAAAGGTAATGCTGCTTGGCACTTGAAATTTGCTTTGAGAGATCAGTACACGCACATATGTTTCATGCATACAAGTAATGGAACATTGACAGAACCTGTCACCCTGCTGCATGTATTGGAGAGTTGGGCAGATGCGGAGGTCAACGTTGATTGCATCGAGTTGAAATTTGCTTTGAGAGATCAGTACACGCACATATGTTTCATGCATACAAGTAATGGAACATTGACAGAACCTGTCACCCTGCTGCATGTATTGGAGAGTTGGGCAGATGCGGAGGTCAACGTTGATTGCATCGAGTTAACAAGTGACATTGCCTTTATAGTCATAGTTCTCTTTGTTGTTGAATGCGCTGTCATGACATGACACAAGACTAATTGTTGTTTTTGTAGTAAGTGAGGTCGCAATGATGAAGTTCTTAATCAGGTGCTAAAACATAATTTGTAGATTTGGGCGAATACATAGTGAATTTTAGTTCGAAGTGAATTCAAAGCGAATAGTTATTTTGATCGAATAATTTTGAATCGAAATCGAATAGTATATATGACATATAAAGACAAATGGGCATATTTATCATGACCTAACTTCCACAATATTAAAATTTCTAAAAACGGAAATTGAGCCTCTATGCTAATGTAATTTTTTTTCATTCAGAGTAACTCGCAACAACTTTGAGTAGTAGCAGGACTTGACTTTTGGCAGAATGCGAGTCTTAACTGCTTCAAATACGTAACACTTAAAAATGTATTATACTTAGAGCATATAATATAAGCTCTCATAACAAGCTTTTAAGCTTAATAAAATGAATTGATCTTAATAAATTGAAAAGGGGCTGTGCAACACTTCATCATGTAGCCATGGAATGTATTCACTAAAGAAGCTTATTGCCTCATGAATTCAATGCCGCAAAAATTTTTAGAGTCTGTAGAGTCGCCAAGATTTGCCGCAACTTGCAAGTGCATTCTCTCTTCTCTTCCCGATGAGAGCGCTGGAAGCTAAGCAGGGAGAGACGGCACGGGGAAAGAAAATACGTCACGCGTGCTTTCTGAGCTTGTGGAATCATTTGCTTGAGAGAAGAGAGCGATTTTCCGCTGATTTTGAGAATTTATTGTGTATCGCACGTCATGTCTTGTATTATATCAAACAATATATCAAATAGTAGATAATATTGCCGAGACATAGTGCCTGCATTCAAACAACGCGCCCATCACCACGCGCACAGGGACATACATGCGTGCCGTCTAGTGTTGCGCAGAGACGATGATGATAGCACGAAAACGCAGCTGGCCCCTGCTGATGTGCGCCACGCGCTTGGGACTCTTCTTGAAGAAGTAGAAGAAGCAGACATCTTTGGTGTTCGGCTGTAACGTGCTACGACCATAGTTCCTTTGAGTTGTGGGCACAGGTTCGCCCTTTAATAAATACGTTTTATTACACCCCGAGTCCTTCAACATCGTTACATTTCTGGTGGACGTGCTGGGTAATGAATCAAAGCCCTACGAACGCAAGACAGCGTAGCCCCGACCACCAGCGAGTTGATCCTGGGGAGCCGACACCTGTGCATAAGAGGACCAGTCGCCGTCTTCGAGGTGATTCACCAGAATTCAGTCCACTCCACTTCACGCCAAGGGGAACTCAGTCAATGGACGCCGCCACCATGGCAAGTCATGTAACACCAGCCCAAGTGGTGATAAATCAGCCTCACCAGCCACCAGTATTTCATGGCGACTCGTATGAAGACGTAGAAGATTGGCTGAACCTCTTTGAGAGAGTGGCACGTTTGAACGGTTGGGACGAAAGAAGCTCCGCCGCGCATACTTTCTTTGGAGGACTTCGCAAAGATGTGGTATGAGAACCATGAAACCTCCTTTACGACCTGGGTTGAATTTCGGCGACAAGCTCTGGCGACTTATGCCAGCGCGGATCGCAAAGAAAAGGCGTAGGCTGCGCTCGAATCCAGGAATCAACTCACCAACGAAAGTGTCGCAATGTATATCGAGGACATGATCCGCCTGTTCAAGCGCGCAGATTCCCATATGACTGAAGACAAGAAGCTACGCCACCTCTTGCGTGGGGTGAAGCAAGAGCTATTCGCTGTTCTCGTCCGCAACCCACCACGAACAGTTGCGGAGTTTCATACGGAAGCGACAGCCATCGAGAAAACGCCAGAACAGCGGGCTCGACAGTACAATTGAGAAATAAACTATGCACATGCCAATGTCTTCTCTGGACGCCAGCGAAGTGACATGGACGCCCTGCGAGAACTCATCAGGTCGGTGATCAGGGAAGAGCTCAGCAAGTTGCAAGCACCTCACACTAAAGCAACATTGTCTGTCGTCGACGTAGTACGAGACGAACTGAGGCAGATGATACGTGAGCCGGAGCGTGCGCCACAGCCGATCCAACGCATCCCAACGTACTCTGAAGTACTCAGACAACCCGCAGCGCACACCAATGCAGCAGTTGCGATGGCCTCTCGTTGCCCACACACGGTACGCAGCGCACCTCGTCCACTGGAACCGACGGCTACCTACCGGCCACGAGCCCGTGGTGTAGCTCGCTGCGTGGATCAAAGGCCCCGGAACAGTGACATCTGGCGGGACCATGAGTGCAGGCCTTTGTGTTTCCATTGTGGGAAACCTATACACACCACTGTGTGTATAGGTTCTGCCCTTACCGACAGGCAGGATTAAGGGGCTTTTCGTTGTACGCACCATGCCCTCGAAACGGTGAACGGCCAACGGAGATCGAAAAGTACTTGTCCGCGCGCCAGAGCCCACTCCACGCCAACATCAGCCAAGATCGCCGTCGCCCAGGCGATACCGATCACCCAGCCCACGTGCTTCTTTCGCACGGTCTGGGCACCGTTCTACAAGCCCACACCAGGAAAACTGAAGCAAGCGACCTGTGGAGGTGAGGCTTCTGATAACTACAGTTGCGGAGATCCTCCATTACGGTTTCAAGGTGACGATGCTATGTTTACAGAGGATAAGCGCAGCAGTGCGAAGATTACTTCAGATTTGCGGTTGAAAATAGACGGATACGAGCTAAATGCTTTAGTTGACACCGGCGCTGATTATTCGGTAATGAGTCACAAATTGGCAAAGAAACTGAAAAAGGTTGTGACAAAATGGAGTGGGGCACAGATACGCACGGCAGATGGCCACACTGTTACACCGCCCGGCAGATGCACCTCAAGGCTCGAAATAAGAGACTTTACTTACGTTGCTGACTTCATCGTGCTGCCGGACTGTTCAAGGGAGCTTATACTAGGAATGGATTTTCTGCAAGCCAATGGAGCCATAATTAATCTGCGCAGATCCAGTGTAACGTTTTCGATCGAACAAGCTATGTCGGTGGAGGAATCGGAAAAGCGACGTCTTACTGCTCTGCGCGTTGTTGATGATGACGTCACAGTGCCACCACGCTGTAGTGTAATGGTGCTTGTTGAAAATAAGGCATTTTGTGACCATGAAGGAATAGCGGATGGAAACATAGAGCTCTTTTTAAACAAAGGAATTTGCGTGGCGAGGGGTGTTGTTCACTTAAGGGATGGCCGCTCAGTTGTCCTCTTTACGAATTTTGGGAATGAATGTCAGCACATCGCGCAAGGTATGGCTATCGCCTATTTCCACGAGTTCTGCATGGCGACTGAACTATGCAATTTAGCGACAACGCCAACCACTCCACAAGAGACCTGCAACGTCGACGCATCAGTTAACGTCAACCATGGGCTCCCAGAATATCAAAAGAAACGATTGTTCGCCCTTATAAAAGAGTTTTCGAACTGCTTTTCAACGTCCTCTGTGGTGCGACGCATGGCTATTGCAAAACACAGGATTATAACAGAAGAAGCCACGAGACCGATTTACCAACACCCATATCGAGTATCGCAAAAGGAAAGAGACGTCATCAAGAATCAAGTGGAGGAGATACTTTCAGATGACGTGATCCAGCCTTCCAGCAGTTCATGGGCGTCTCCCGTAGTGCTTGTTAAAAAGAAAGATAACAGCCTTCGATTCTGCGTCGACTATCGGAAACTGAACAGCGTAACGAAACGGGATGTATACCCTCTGCCGCGTATCGATGATACACTCGATCGACTACGCAGTGCGAAATACTTCTCCTCCCTTGATCTCAAGAGCGGATATTGGCAAATTGAGGTGGATGAGTGCGACCGTGAAAAGACGGCATTCATAACCCCAGACGGCCTCTACGAATTTAAAGCGCTTCCATTCGGCCTGTGCACAGCGCCAGCTACGTTTCAGAGAATGATCGACGCTGTTTTCGCGGGACTGAAATGGCAGTCCTGCTTGGTGTACTTGGATGACGTCGTATTTTCCGCTAAATTCGACCAACATCTAGAGCGACTCCGCACAGTATTAGAAGCCATTCGTTCAGCAGACTTGACCATCAAGCCAGAAAAATGCCACTTCGCTTTTGAAGAGCTTCGATTCCTCGGACACGTCGTCAGCTCCGACGGCGTTCGGCCAGATCCCGAAAAGACAGCTGCCATCGCGAAGTTCCCGACACCCAAATACAAGAAGTCAGTACGTCGCTTCTTGGGTTTATGCGCGTACTATCGGCGATTTGTGGAATATTTTTCGAACATTGCTGAATCACTTACTAATCTGACAAAAGACGAGGTGAACAACAGGAAGCATTTGATGAGTTAAGAACACGCCTGCAAGCCTCTCAAATCCTCGCCCACTTCGATGATACTGCCGAAACTGAAGTTCACACTGATGCGAGTAACTTCGGCCTCGGAGCCATTCTAGTCCAGCGGCAAAACGGCCAAGAAAAAGTGCTAGCGTATGCCAGCCGCAAGCATTCGAAAGCTGAGACAAATTACTCTGCAACCGAAAAAGAGTGTCTCGCGGTCATCTGGGCCATAAGTAAATTTCGGCCGTACCTCTACGGTAGACCATTCCGTGCAGTCAGTGACCACCATTGCCTGTGTTGGCTGGCGAATCTTAAGGATCCCTCTGGCCGACTAGCAAGATGGAG